AGAGAGGGGGGGGGGGAGAGAGAGAAAGAGAGAGAGAGAGAGAGACTCTGTATGGTTGTAGATGGGAAACACTCCAATGGATGAGATTGTGGAAAAATAACACAGTCTATTGGTTGTTTAGTTGGTGTGTGACATCAGTCTGTGTGCATGTGAAACATGGGCGGTCCGCTGAGGATGGCTACTTTAGGAGAGGGCCCTGCCCCTGCCGCCCAGTGAAGGCTGGACAACCACAAGAAGATCAGCTGCTAGTAGATGCTACAGAGGAGAAGTTTCCAGTAAGAAGACAAGCCATCAGAGGTCAAGATAAAGAAAGGCTGTACCTGGAGCACAAAAGAACATCTTCCTGTTTAAAGTGAGATCACTGCCACAGGAGGAAAGGTAACAGCTCACTGACTGACATCTGATTTTGTGTTATTTATTATGAATAATGTTGGGAGAATAATGTAGTTGAAATGTAATTTCAATCCAATCAAACCTTTTCAAAACAAAGACAACGAAAAGTCAACAACAAAGAATCAAAAATAATGAAATATGGTCTTTTCATGAATTAACAACTTTGCTCTACAATTCTTTCTTACCTGCTCTTGTATTAGTGTATTATTATGTATGGTTTGTGGGTGTGTGTCATGTCCCATGTGCGTATATGGGGGGATATTGTGGCCCCTGTCCCTGTTGAGTGACAGTAACTGTGAACAGATGTAACTGCCCGCCTGAGCAGTGACTGATCCCTCTAATCTATGATAACAGGAACACACAAACACAGCACATGTGCCACTGTAGACACACACACACACACACACAAACACACACACACACACTCATGGTTATATTTTTAGAAGCAATCTTATTTGCCTTGGTCATACCCGTATTTCAGGAAATCTTAACTCATATATTTTATTGCTCACATCTCAGGTCCAGGACAGTAAAATCCAGATAAGGAGCACCACACCTCAGGAGAAGACATCTACATTCTTCCTCCTTGCCTCCTCGTCAGCAGCACCCTCTCTCGCTCTCCATCCCGTCTGAGATACCGCCATGGACCGCTCGGCGAAGGAGCTGTTCCTCAACTTCATGATCGTCTTAATCACCGTGCTGCTGATGTGGCTGCTGGTGAAAACTTACCAGGACTGAACCGTGTGGCAACAAGAGAGGAGAAGAATGAGAGGCAGAGGAGATGGAGAGACACGTGTGGAGGGAAGCCAGCATGGTTACTGTAGGACTTTGCTGCTGATTGATTCTTGTTCAGACGCAGTGTTTACATCTTTTCATTCTTTTAGTCTATGGTCACTGGTCTGGTCCAGAGCTCTAGTATTCCATTGAGGTAAAAAAAAAAACATGTGAATGCCCGAGCCAGATGAGCAGATTGTCAACAAGATGGTTTTTTTTAATTTGGCCTTTAATTTCTGGCAAGAGCCGAAGGGGAACTCACAGTAGAGATGGGGAGGGAGAATAAAAATAAATAAACAGGGGTTTGAGGCTCTACTTTTTGACTGTGGAAACCTTTTACGTGATGGCTAAAATAAAAATATGTGTCATTCATATGACCTTTGATACATTGAACCATGCTGTTGTGTCTATTGTTCTGTTTTTACTAAGTGATGAATGTGTCAAAAGCCAATACTGTATTCATTCATAGAAGAAGGCACCAACAGAAATAACGAAGGATCATGTTTATGTTCACTTCTTGCCATTAAACAGTCTTTCATTTGTTGGATTCTTTTTCTGTTTCATCACACCAACTTATTATGCATTTATGATTTACACCATGAAGCCCAATTTTGTCTCCTCCTAGGTTTCTGAAAGTTACTGTTGAAGCTGCAGAGGGTTTCTTCATGATAGACAGGTAAAGTTGCACATTTCCTTCAAACAAGCAGTTTCTGAAGATACTCAGGTGATCTATCTAGTGGTCACATGTAGAATTGCTGTATACATCATGAGAGGAGAAACAGGGCATGCATGGATACATGACAGTCTGAAGCAGAAGGCAAGTAGTTTAAAGTGAAAATCCACCCAGATAATTTACACAGTATTGTGATTCTTTTAGTTGAGTTTTAAATAGTGCAATTTATATGAGCAGGACTCCAACAGCTAGAAAAAAAAAGAAATAAAAAGGGAAAATCAGGAAAATAATATGGAAAAGCCCCATTTGCATTATATAAGAGACATATATAGGACCATTTTCTAAAAATATTACAACATAATGTTTATATTCTAATCTGCACTATGAAATAAAGTACATTCAGTTGAAAAGGCTTTATGAGAGGTCCTTTTGAGGGCTGTAAGTGTTACATAACAAAGTCTTCTTTTCTATATTATTGCTGTAGGAGAGCGGATACATTTACATACACTGCGAGTTCTTTGGGTGAATTCTCCTTTTAAAACATACTGAGCAGAAAAAATATCCAGGTACTAAAATAGGATTTCCAAAATAGTCTTTTTCTCAATAGGGTTCCTCCATGGGAGGGACCACACTTTGATTGACACAAGAAAGATCCTATGAAAGCATGTGCTGAACACATATACAAAGTTAAGGATCAAATCTCTAAATAAAAAAATAAATTAATCATTTGGCTCAGGTGCTCTTGTGTTACGATGATCTGTGAGAGATGTGGTGTTAGTAGAAGACTTCGCTCTTGAGCTGTCCGTCATGCACAGAGTCAGTCCAGACTCATTGGTACTTGCTTACATCAGTGACACCTGTAACACGCATGTACATCCACTCACATGCGTTCATGAGTGTGTGTGTTTGCTGTGTATCATGCCGTGTCACCCCATGGGTCTCTGTATCTATTGAAGCTGATGAGCTGACAGTGGAACTCAGTGAGCGCTCTGGGCATGGGAGCCACCTCCTCCCATTGACTCCTCCCACTGTAGTACACCTGCACGGGTCACAAGAAAACACAAAGATCACCCACAGCCTGGGTAATACATTTAACTAACTTTAAATGAACTACTTAAGTAAAGTTCTGGGAGCAGGGACACATCTCAACCATCTTCTCCTCTTTGTCGATACTTTCATTATATTATTAACCCTTTAATCTCACACTGTATTGATGCCTTGCTAGTGAATCAATAGCTTGATTAAACTGCTTAGACAAGCTTCTTTATCCTTATTACATTCTTTACTGTAAGGTGATACAATATTAATAATACCCAGTATACATACTATGCATATGCAGTGGACACAGAGATGTACTGACATATTGTTAACATTTTAGAACTGACAGGGACACTGACAAAAAAAAATGGTCGACCTCCATGCTTCGATTTAAATTACACATTTTTTTGTCTTTTGCAATGGGGTAATTTTGATGTCAGTGTTTCTCTTGTGAACTACTGATCACTTCGTCCAGGTAGCTTGAAAACAAAGAGCCCTTTTGCCAAGTCAACACATCATATGGCTTCCACTAACCATGACTTAGGGCATCATCTTAGTCCACAAAAGCTGAAGTAGGGCAGCGTCCATGGTTAAAAAGGTTCTTCCTACCTGAACTTCATCAGTGATCTCGTCAGGTGAGTAGTCTCCACCCAGGATGTAGATTCTGTCTCTCATCCCCACTGCTCCAGCATTGAACCCAGCACACTCAAACGACCCTTCACCCTTCCACACACAGGTCTCTGGACAGAAACTGTAGACCTGGATGGGGGAAAAAAGCACAGTTAACTCTCTGTTTAACCCTTTAAATGGTCCTGCTAGGAAAAAATACGCTACATAAACCCTTTTTAATGCTTTCACAGTGCAATGCAATGACTGACTCATTCATTTATCTGCTGACTCACCTTATAAGTGGACAGGTCACAGAGGTGCAGTGTGTTGTTTAGTGACACTGCCTTGACCAGTGTAGCATGAAAAAACTGGCCAAACTCTGCCAACAGGCGGCTCCACTGGTCCTTCTGGGCGTCGTAGCAGAAGAAGCAGTCCAGTGAGGGGTTAAATGAGTCTGTGATCTCCACCTCTGATCCCAGAGTATAGATAACACTGCCACAAGCACTGGCCTCAGGGTAGTAGATTGCAGTGGGCAGGGGACTGACTGAGCGCCAGGTCTGAGTCAGAGGGTTGTAATACTCCACCTACAATATAGGAAAGAATTTGTAACTCAAACAAAATCTGCACTCCCATCCCTATTTTAGTAATGAAAAGGACATCTCAGCTGATAATGTGGTCTTAAACATATTTAAAGGAGACCTCCAGCAGACTGGGAGCTCCCCCTCTGGACCCCTTCGTCCGTCCTCCAATCACATACACTCGGTCCAGGCAGGTTACAGCTGTGTGCGTGGTTCTGGGCTTCAGCATGGCTGGAGCGGGCGTGCAGGTTAGGGTCACAGGACAGAAACACCAAACCTCGTCCGTGGCATCGTGGAACGGCTCGGCCACGTGGAGACGTATTGCCCGGCAACAGTTCCCCCGGCAACCGCCTGTCACAAACATCTTAGATCCAGCAGAAAGACGAGAAGGTGGTTAACTTTTTCAAGCTATAACTGAGAGGATGATAAAACATATGTCGTTTTTTGATTAATTAACACACAAATAAGGTTTGTTTGTTGCCTAATTTTACCCGACATGTACATTCCCTTACTGGTCAGGTGTTTCTCATCCTTTTACCCCTGATCTCTAAACCCCTAACCAAGATAAATCTCAGGGGTAAAGTTTCTTTTTTTCTGACTTTTCTCTTCTTTTTGTCTTTTCTCCTGTGAAATAATGGCTACAATTACCTCTAGAGTTCCCTAAAAAGCTTTCAAATAAACAATCGGGGATGGGAAACTCATTCTTTGTTTGACCAGCTCACAACCCATGACCACACCAAGGCTATAACTTATGAGTTAAGTAATACAAGTTCACATTTTAGGGTTTGGCTCAATCCCGAAATGTACCTTCTCAGCGTAGGTGGTAAGGTAGGATCCCGGGGGGTCTGGCATTGTGGCTGTCCCCTCTCCATGCCCTGTTCCTAGCTCTTTCCACTGATCTGTTTCCAGACAGTAGCAGAAGGTGTGGCGGATCTCTCCGTTCTCCTCCGTCTTGTGGATGTAGATGTAGCTCTGTGTGGTGGCCGGCCTGGCATCAGTGAGCAGGCCGCTGTACTGATCCTGTCGGCTCTGAGCTTCCGAGAGCAGGGCGAGACAGGACTCGTTGTCACAGAGGAGCGGGTCTGAATCAGGTAGAGCCTGAGAGAGAAGGGGAAGGGTGAGACAATCACAAGACATCACAAGACACTGCATAAAATCCAAAATCCAGCACATGCAGTGTGTTTATACCTTTAATGTGGGTAGATGGTGGAGTCTTGTTAGAGATAACAAGCCTGGCAACAGTTTTTGTCTTCCTGGGAGATCGTGGCGGATCCATCGAAGAAGTGACTTCACCACAGCCTCCTCATTGGGCACACTTAGAGCATCTGACCTCAGGCATGCTTCCAACACATTCAACTACAAGAAGCAGTAGAAACTGAGTCACTTTCTACAATATTATTACTTCTTTAGACACAGCATAAACCTTTTCAATGATTCAAGGTTAGTTTATTGTAATTTACAACAGAAGGTTGTAGAATGACATTTAGATATAGTGGATAGCTAGATGACTCATAAAAATAAAATAAAAAGATTTGTTTTTGATGAATTGTTGAGGAAGATTTAATAGCCTGAGGGAAGAAGCTGTCTTTAAGTCTGGTGGTACGGCAGCAGAAGCTTCTGTACCTCTTCCCAGATGGCAGCAGTGGGTATAAAGTGGGTATAAAGATACCACCCTAGACCTTCTTGAAATAAAAGAGGCCACATTTTTATCCATTAACTTGATGAAAACATTCTTTTTAAAACCTTTTATTAAATAAATGTCTGTGGAGTATGATTTGGAGCTGAGTATGACAGGATAAAATCATGGCTCAGTCTGAACGAATACACACTCTGCATACATAATATAATCAAGGTACAAACTAATTAAAAAATGTATGTATTTATTTATTATAAACCTCAGCTTATTTCATAAAGAACTTCGTTATCTTGGAAGTTATTAAGCAGCACCTGCATGTCCAGAAAGTCCTGTGTTTTGGAAAGGTCAGAATAGTTCTGAACCACAAACTCATTGGCACTTCGGAGGAGGGTGGCCGAGCCGTAGCCCTCAGCAAGGGAAAAGAGGGACAGGCAATTACAAAGATCCATGGTTCCTATCAGGAAGTCGCTGCACGCTCGGGACAGGACTGGCACCTGAGGACACCAACAACAAGAAGAATATTGGAAACGTAAATGTCTTTAATAGCTTTATTTGACTCTGTTAATCTAGTTAAATGAGGGCCCTGCACACCCACACTTAGTTGATTAGACCTCTGCTTGTTGGGTGGAGCTTTGCTGGGAATTAAATGAGGTCACGGAAGTTTATGCACCAAAAAGAGTAATAAAACTGTAAGCTGTCAACAGCTGGCAAACACTAATTAAACAAGTGCCCTCACAGTCCTGAGGGGAGGTTTGATTAGTCAAAATAAGTGAAGACACCTGTGTGTGTGTGTGTGTGTGTGTGTGTGCCATAGGTGTGTAACAGACATTTTGACGTGTCATAGGAATAAAAGCACAGGTTTTACTAATAACATGAGTGATGACTCTGTTCTATTCAAACGCCCCAGTGGGCCATGCCAATGTGATAGTGAGTCAGCAGGAACAATACAAAGACCCTGAAACCAAACTACGTAGAATGAATTCAGCTATCAACAGGGATTTTATCATTTACACCAGTGCTTTTCTTACTGTGACATGTCAAAATGTAAGTGTTTCTGTACTGTAACATCCTAACCAGGGTGAGGAGGCGCTAGTTATGGCACTAGAACAAGAATGAAGAACCTACCTGCAGAAAAGAGGCAAGCTGAAACAGCATGTCTACATTGCCATCAGTGATGAGTGCCTCTCCAGAATAGGCGAAGTCCAGGAAAGAAGTCACGGCCAACGGACACTGGTTACCCAGAGTCACTGAACCATCATCACGCTCTCGCATATCCACCTCAAACATGGCCCTAAACACAGAGCAGTTACACATGATATTATCATTACAGGAATAGATAGATAGATCGACAGACAGATAGATAGATCGATACCTGAAGAAATCACTGCATGCGGCAAGGACACAGCGATGGCAGGGAAAACTGTGTCCCTGGACCTTAATGGTGAAGTCGAACATCAAGCCTTGCTCCCTGAATGATCGGAGCACGCTCAGCAGCTGGAGTCCGTGTAACTCAGATGTCCGCAGCATGGTCCTGCACTCTGGGACCCCGTTGCATTCTGGAGCATTGCCACGTTTACTGCTAGGAGGGCTGCTGCTGGAGTTTTGGCCGTTGGTGCTACAGGAGGACAACTCTTGAGATTCATCCATCTTGCCAAATTCTGGAAATATGAACAAAATAAAATAAAGGTCATAATTCATTTCCAAAGAATGAAGTGAGTCTGAGTCTTTGTGTATTATGTGAATGAGACACAGAGGGAGGCGAGGAGGGATAAGAGACGGGAATCTACTTTGTAACAGACAGTCACTCTCTACCATACAAGCATATTGCTGATTAGAATTTAAGGGAAGAGCTGGGTTTGCGTCAACCACATTCAGTGTTATCACATAATTATTCAGCTCAAAATAAGGTATTACACACTTACCTCAGATAATATACCGCTGGTAAAAGTCAGACACACACATGTGAAACAGACAGGTAGGGAGTCTGGAGCAGGACAAGCAGTAGTGTCAGCACCACGGACAGCTCTCTTTCTCGTGCCACTCTTAACTTCCGGAAGCGTGAAATCACGCGAGGACTCGGACGGCTTTTAGTTTTTTTGTAGTTATAATTGTCTCTAACGTTATCTTTGCTAAAAAAAAAAAGTGCGATGTTTTATTGATAATAATAATATATTTATCCGGTGTATAAAAGCCCTCGAGTTGACTGCGTGTTTGCGGCTCTTTGTTTG